ATCTTAGGAACAGACTGACCATTTTTTTAAAAGAAGTATTTTCTTAATATGTAGGCTGATAAATCAAAGCATGTTTTACCGAGTAATTAATCTTTCAATAATTCACACAACAGGTCATTTTGGGGTTTAACCCCTGCTTCCATTATTTCTGACCACAAGGTCCACCGACAGATGTCTCACTTTGGATGTACACAACAGAAGACTGGGATCTGTTTCACGTACATCTGTTCCCAAACGGCTTAGGCAGATTAATACTTAGAATGCACCCAGCTCTGCTAAGTCCCAAACAACCATTAACTCTTGTTGTTTTTAAATTATTTTTTCTCATTTTTGCATTTTTCCACACTACCTTTCACACTGGTAAGTTTCCAGCAAATGTTTATACATGTAAAGCTAATCATTTTAATGCTCCTAAAAGAAACACTTTCAAGACCTTATTCTGAAGCCCAGCTTTCTCACATTTTCTGGTTACTGCTTTAATTCAACTCAGCTCAGAGCTAGGGTAGGAATAACCCTTTGGTGAAAAAGATCATGAAATTGTGTAACGTGAAGGAGGAAGTCCATGAAAACCAGAATTTTAAACCACAAGATTTGAGACTCTCATTTTTTTCCTATTTAATACATAATATTCAGATGCTAATCAGATTACAAAATCCTTGCCCTGAAATTTGCTTAAAAGGCATCGTAAATGAAATCAAGGATAAGCTAGTCTTTTTATCCATCATAAAAAAATGTGCTGATGACTAGCGCTAACCAACATTTTTCCATCAGAAAATGGTTTCTTCCTTTCCAAAGATAGGCCCGGGGCTGAGAGGACTGTCCACCTCTCTCCACTATGCCCTGAAGCTGTGGAAGGACAGGAAGGGGCCTGTTTGTCCCCCATGTGTTTCTTCTAATTAGAAATTCGTTAGGGTTGAGTGGCTCCTGCTGTCAAACAAGACTCGTCTGCAGGCACTGGACGGTTGACCCCACTGGTCATTCAAACCTGAGACTTATTTATGTCCTAACACCTGAAGTCTATGAACATAGGTATGTTCTTTAAAAAGCAACTTCAGAGTTAATGGTTTTCGACGATTATATACAGTTGATCCTTAAATAATGCGGGGGTTATGGGTGCTGACCCACGCGCAGTCAAAAAAATCCACGTTTAATTCTTGATTCGCCCAAAACTTAAGAGCTAACTGTTGAACAGCAGCCTTCCCAGCAATAATAGTCAATTAACAGATATTTTGTCCGTTAAATGTATTATATACTGTATTCTTACAATAAAGTAAGCTATAGGAAAAAATGTATCTTTCAAGATGAACATTTATACTTCTGTACTACATCAAAAACAAAACAAAACAAAACTCACGTGTCAATAGAGCTGTGTAGTTCCAAGTCAAGTTGTTCAAGGGTCAACTGTAATGAAATGTCTCATTCTGCAGGTGAAGAAACTAAGTGGAGTTAAATCACTTGCCCAAGTCAGTTACAGTCCTGATAGTCACAGAGATAAGACGGCAGGTCCTTTGGTGCCCCATCCTGAGAACATTCCTGCACCAGGCAGATTACACACAGCTGGAGTGGGGAACCTATAAAAAGTCCCATTTTTCATACATCAGGATGCTATCCATTAGTAAATGGTGAGGCTTCCAATGTGAAAAGGCAGAGAGATCTGTGGGCATTTGGTATTCCTGTCACAGAAATTCCTAAATTGATCATTCTTAACTGTATTAAAATTTGAGCTTAATACAGTTTAATCCTACCCATTCCTAACTCTCCCTACCAGGAGCTTTTCCTTTATGGTAAAACATGATCCACCCGGTCACACAGTACAATAAGCAGATCCGGCTTTGGGGAGGCACAAAAATGCTTCTATCTTCTGCTTTCATCAAACCTTTCAAGTAGAAGCTTACTACCTGCTAAGCAAACATGGCAAGAAAGTTGTCCTTGGCTGAGATCTAGAACAATGTCAACAGGTAACTGGTGATGCTTTTGAAGACCTTGAACTCTGAAAGTGTCTGATCGAACAACAGCACAAGGACTAAGTTATAAAATACACAGATCTGTCTAATACATGTGCCCATGTCCCCTTTCCTGTGCACCCTTCATTTCTGACGCCTCCTCTCCCCACCCCAGTTCCAGGCACTGTGTTGGGAGCTGCCCATACTGGCAGCACTACTCTTAATCCTCTTTGCCTAGATAGGGTCCCATAACCCAGGCTTATCTGGTCTCAGACAACTCACCTGATCCCTCTCCCCTTTCTTCAGGATTTTGTTCCTTCCTAGGTCACAGCTAAGTGGGTAATTACTTTATATTCACAGGAATAAACTGTTCATTTTATATTTACACAAGAAAAATGGCCAGATTTTAAAATTCCCATAGAAGGATCATTGGGTAACATTGCAGATCATCAACCTTTTCTGAACAGATGACGCCCTTCTGTGCACATATTTTACATTGTTGTGGTGGCCTCCTGGTCAACCTATGCCCAGGTGTGCTTACCACCCTGCAGCTGAGCAAGAGGGAACCTTCTAGCCAAGGCACCCACTGTGGAGAAGTGGGCCAACATTAGCTTAATTTTTTTTTCTTTTTAGAAGAGTTCCAATACTTTAAAGAAAAATGGAGGGGATACTCCTGCATGTGATGCAAACCCACTGTTAAGTAGCAGTATAATAAAGGGTACAATGCAATAGGCAAAACTAAAGTTCATGGGACCAGTTAGCAAATTCATTCAACGATCAGTCATGTGTCAGACACTCTTCAAAGTGCTGACAGTTAACAAACCGATGGTCTGAACATCTTTTCCCCCCACCTAGATCTAGTCTGAGAGTTATACCATCAGCCCCCCTGCTTCTCAGGCCTTCAGATTGGGTCTGAATTCTACCACTGGCTTTCCTCGTTCTCCAACTTGCAGATGGCATGCAAGGGGGACAGCTCAGCCTCCATAATCCCACAGTAGATCTCCTCAAAGCTATAGCCCAAGTTCCATTTCTCTGGAGAACCCAAACACATTCTAGATTTGTCAAAACCCATAGAATGTACAACATCAAAAGTGAACATCAAGAGTGAACCCTAATGTACACTATCGACTCTGGGTAATGATGGTTCATGTAGATTCATGAACTATAACAAATGTACCACTCTGTTGAGCAATGTGGCTAATGGGGGGGGGTGGCTGTGCATGTGGAAGGGGTAAGGGGCATATGGGAAATCTCTGTACCTTTTGCTCAATTTTCCAGTAAACCTAAAACTGCTCTAAAAAAATAAAATCTACTTTTAAAAACCATGAAGGTTTAAAAACTGAGTGGTCTTGAACTCTTTCCTGTGTATGATCTAATAATGCCCAGTGACCCCACTCCACCCTTTCCAGGAACAGCCTGTCACTGGCCAAGGAGCACTGGACACAACCCACTACATCCTTCCACACCACAGCCTCCCGGGTATGGTAACCTTGATACAGCTCTTCCTCCATTAACTGGACCAATTTCACTGGTCTTTCAGCACTCACCTCTAACCTAATTCCACATCAGAGATTATTTCTCACATTTAAACTTGTGTCTTGGTACCTTCTTTTCCCACTCAGTGTACTAAGTAAAACATCCACTTCTAAAATAGAAGTTCTTATGAAGCTGCTAGGATTTCGACCTTCCAATTTTAAGGCCTAAAGTGGCACACTAGGTATTAAGAAAAAAGTAATACACCTAGATGAAAAAAGATGGGTTTTAGAGCAAAACAACAAAAACAAAACAAACTTTCAACCTTTATAGTTTTTAATTTCTACTTCAGGAACACTACGCAAGCATACTTTTCCTCCCTCACCACTCAATTTAAAACATTTCCTTTCTTGTGTCATTATTTGCGTTTTTCTGGAGGGGCACTGCAACACCAATCTGTATGATCTCTCATTGCATGGTCGTGGTTTAATTCTGTCGTGTTTCCCCTTCATTGTAGGTAAAATTGGCTCTTGTAGGCTAAACTCTATAACTTCTATATCCTCCCAAATTCAAACTGACTTAAAAACTTAAAAGTTAGGGATATGGACGTAGAATTCTGTCAACTCAGAGCTTTGATAAAAGTCTACCTTGGTTGTCAAAACACCTGAAAACATTTTAATTAAAGTATAAGTGAGCCAGGATGGCTTATGGAGCAGAGGCGGAATTCACACTCAACCAGGGCGGAGTCCCTGACTAGTCGGCGGCATTTTGTTAGCTTTTTGCACAAGAAACTTTAAAACAGTAACAGGTTTCTATAGTACTAGTACAGGGTGGCCGGTTTTCCAACCCAGAAAGACGTTTTTTTAAATTTTCTTAAGTTGGTATTCAACTAGGTGAGACAGTTTCACATCCCAGTTTCTTGAGAAATCATCTCTAGACTGACTTGAAATAGTTCTATTGTAAATAAGGCACTGTAGTATTTCTAAGTAACTCAAGTCAATAAAAGACGAATGCAAGTAAACAGCGTGATTAAAGTTTTAAAGTTAACATTAAGACTAAGCCTGTAGAAACCTTGATTCTAGACAATGGCAAGGAATGTGAGGGGCGTCGAAGTCCAGAGAGAGCCCAAAGTGGGCGCGGGGGGGGGGGCTTAAAATTCAGAAGTCAGCAAAAGGAGAGGTGGATTCAGAACCCACATGTTGGTGTACTCTGCAAAGCGCTTATACTCCCAGCGTACGGGCAGAAATGGACGGATTAAAACTTCAGCTTGGAGGGAAGGAGGCCCTTCCCAGCAGCTTGAAAAACATCGCCCCTCTGGGGCTCAGTTCTGTTTTTTTCTGCATCGCAAAGCAGAAGCTGAGCGGGACTTCGCTCCGGAGGCGGGAGAAGCCAGGCAAGAGGCAGCAGGTAGCGCGAGGCCCCTGGGGGTAGATAAGGTTCTCCCCATTTGGGAAGGAGGGGGCGGTGGCGTCGGGACGCTGGGAGAGGAGGAGCCTGGGGGGAGCGGAGTGGAAGCGGCGGGAGGTGGAGGGAGGAGGAGAGGGTGAAGGCGCCGCTGGAGGTGAAGGAGCCGGGACCACTCACCCGCGGGTCGCTCGGGCTGGATGGGCCACCACCTCAGGGCCAGCTCGCTCAACACCACGTCGCAGCTGCTCCTCCCGATCTCGAAGATGCCCCGCAGCAGAGTCTGCCCGGCCGCCGCCTCCGGCTGTAGCCCGGACGCCCACAGCGCCGAGGGCACAGCGGCCGCCGCCGGGGGCGCTTCTTCCTCCGGGCCGCCCTCCAGGGCGCTCACGCGGCCTCCGCGCCTCCCCCGGGGCATGGCGGAGACGCTAGCTGAGCTGGAGCCAGGGGTCTGGGGAGGCCTTTGAGGAGGAAGTGGAGGCCGCAGCACCCACGACTCTGGCTGCGTCGGGCGCTGCCACAGCAACCGCGCGCAGGGCAGAGACCCAGGAGGGAGGCGGGGCGGGCAGGCGGGGCCGCCGGGACCCAGTCCTGCACCTCCGCCTGCGGGACGCGGGTCTCTGCCGCTCGCTACAAAAAGATCCACGTCCCGGAAGAGGAAAAGTGTCTCCCTCCGCCAAACTTTACTCTTCGCGGGGATTTAGTGGATTGCGCTACCCACAGCGCTTCTCAAATTTTTACTTAGCCTCTGGGCATCTCGTTAAAATGCACATTCCTGGGCACCTGGGTGGCTCAGTGGGTTAAAGCCTCTGCCTTCAGCTCGGGTCATGATCTCGGGGTCCTGGGATCGAGCCCCACATCGGGCTCTCTGCTCAGCGGGGAGCCTGCTTCCCCCTCTCTCTCTGCCTGCTTCTCTGACTCCTTGTGATCTCTGTCTCTGTCAAATAAATAAATAAAATTTTAAAAAAAAATGCACATTCCTACTGAAGCGGTGCGGGATGAGGTCCGGGATACTGTATTTCTAAGAAGCTCGGGGTGATGGTGACGCCCATGTCCGGCGACGCCCATGTCCTGCTTCGCAGAGCACAGTTCGGGTTCAAGGGCCTCTGTTTTTTGCATCTCCTTCCCGGTGGGCTCTCTTGGAAGGCGGAGGTCACGCCCGCAAGTGTTAGCTGGTTTTTCGCACCTGGTCTAAAGCGCGCATTTCCCAAGTGCCCCGAGGGGAAGCCAAAGTCTAGGATTTGCATCGACCAATTCTCACCCGACAAACATAGTATTAAAAGAAGATGCCTTATCACCATGAGCACTAACGTATAGAATTATTGAATCACTATATGTACACCCTTAACTATACTGGAATGAAAGGGGGAAAAAAGACAATAAAAAGTGCCTTTGTGCTATCAGTATGGACGGTCCTACTTTCCTCAAGATCTCTCCAAGGCAATCTTGTCTTTGCCTGGATCTGGCACTCCCTGGAGGGAGCTTACAAGCAGCAGGCCTTGTTCTCTTGAAGGCTACCGCTGTAATGCAGTGTTACCTGGAAATGGAGAGGGCCCCGAGGGGTTCATCCATCACTTTCTTCTGGGAGTGGACAGTCATGAAATTAGCCGATGGTTAATTGGGAAAGCACAGAGTCTGGAGGCCAGTGGTTCTCAATCATGGCTGCACATTAGAGTTACCTGGGGAGTTTAAAAAAATCCAGATGCCCAGGCTGCACTTGAAGAAATTAAATTGGAATCTCGGGGGATGGGACCCAGCTTCCCTGATGATTCCAGTGCTCAGCTAGCCTGGGAATCACTGCTCTGAGCGGCGGATGAACCGGGAGCTGACAATCTGTGACAAGGAAGCAGGGAACAACGGAGTTCTCTGGAAGAGGAGCGGAGTGGGAGGTAAATCAGCAGCCTTTTCATAAGGTCAGAATGATTGTATTGAGAAAAACTTAGGGGCAAGGCACTGAAAGAGCAAATTAAATTCACAGAGTTGTGAATTCTCGTTCCAGGGTGCTCTGGCCTCACCAGTGACTTCTCACTGGTGCGCTCTTCTCACTCCTGCGCTTGTCCTGGTCATGCTGCAAAGCCAGACGGAAGACCTCGTGGAAGCAGGAGTGTCTCAAGGTTCTCTGCTCAAACTTGGATTTCAGACAAGCCGGGGAGGAAGACTGGAGGCCTGGCCAAATCCCTTTCAGACATAAAGCGCCTGTGTGTCAGTTAAGCTGGGACTCTGACTGTTTAATGCTCTGGAAACAAATACCCAAGCTTCCAAGCAAAGCAGGGAAGAGCCTCTGTTTGATCTGATCCCGGAGAGCTGTTCCTTGGAGCAGAAGTGCAACTGCTTTGAAACCCCATGAAGGCTTCAGGTGGCTCAACCGAGCCCTCATCAGTGGGGAGGCCCGGGCCCTTGCAGGACGAGTTGCCTAGTTGCCTGTTCTGGAGTCAGCATCTTGTATTCACAGCTGTCGAACCGTCAGCACAGAGCTCCCTGGCATTTTAAAAGTTCACTGAGAGCCAGGGCAAATAGGCCAAGGCAGTGGCTATTTCTTAGGGCCTTTGCAAGTGCCAAGTTGCCATTTTTCAAGCTTCATAGGGCCAGACAGTCAAAACAATTGACTTTGCTTCTCTTGAGGATGACAGTAATAGCTGTACTCCATTCTTTCCTCTTGATGGGGGGGGGGGGTCTCTGTCCTCAGCATCTAGCTACACAAGCCTCAGGGCCATGCTTTGCATATAATACAGGGTTCCTGGAATGAAGTCACCAGGCCCAATCACTCCCCTGAACCTTAGGCTCTATGTCCACCTGCCTACCTGACATGACCACTCAGCCATCCAGTAACCATCTAAAACATAACGTAACTAAAACCAAACTCATGATTTTCCATCATAAACCTGTTCCTCCCAGAATGTTCCAAATCCCAGCAAATACTGTTATCAGAATCCTTGATGTCATTCTTATTTCTTCTCATCGTCTCGGACTCACATCCAATTCACTGGCAAATCCTGTCAATTCCATCTGCAAAAAAAGACTCCTTTCAGGCTCTTGTCTTCCTAGTCTACACCTCTACACTTCTCACTGGACCACTTCAATAGCCTCCCACCCATTTCTATGATTTCCCCTTTGCCTGTACTCCCTCCTCCAAGCCAGAGTCTATTTTCCACCTGGCAATCACATTGCTCCTTTTAAAAGTAACAAGATCGGGGCGCCTGGGTCGCTCAGTCTCTTAAGTGACTTCCTTCGGCTCAGGTCATGATCCCAGGTCCGGGGATCGAGCCCTGCATCGGTCTCCCTGTTCAGCGGGGAGTCTGCTTCTCCCTCTGCCTACTGCTCTGCCTACTTGTACTCTCTATCTGTCGAATAAATAAATAAATTTTTAAAAATTGAAAAAAAAAAATAAAAAAAATAAAAGTAACAAGATCGTATCACTCCCCGCTCACAAACTTCCCGTGATCTCCCATCACTCTTGGAACAAACTCAACATGCTTGGCAAACGTACACAGCGCTACATAATCAGGGCTCTGGCTACCTCTCCAAGGTCACCTTCTAACACCTTTCCCCTTGTTCCCCCACACAAGCCTCATTTCTAGTCCTCAAACAGACTGAGACTAGTCCCTTAGAGCATTTGCCTTGCTCTTCCCTCTTTGGAATGCTTTCCCAGCCAGCCAACCAGATGGCTCCCTCCTTCATCTCAATCACTTTGCTGCTTAAAGATCTTCTTCTCTAAGAGAACATTGCTGATTTCCTCCATCATTCACCTTCCTATAACCATGGGTATTAGTTTTTTTGTTTTTGTTTTTTAATTGCTGCTAAACCAATTGCCCTAAACTTAGTGGCTTAAAACAACACGATGTATTATCTGACATTCCTGAAGCTCAGAAACCTAAACTCTGTTTCACTGGACTAATATGAAGTCATCAATAGGCCTGCATCCCTCTTGGAGGCTCCAGGGAAGAAGTCATTGCCTTGCCTTTTCTAGCTCCTAGAGGTTGCCTGTATTTCTTGGTTCATGCCCCCCCCCAAACCCCACCTCCATCTTCAAAGCTAGCACCATCGCATCTTCTCTCTGCTTCCATCCTTCCATCTTACGTCTCTGACTTTGCCCTTCTTTCCTCCCTGTTATAAGGATCTTTGTGATTACATTGGATCTATCTGGATAATCATTAACCGTGTTTGCAAAGTCCCCTCTGCAATGTAAGGTAACATTTTCACAGGTTCTGGGAATTAGGACATAGACATCTTCAGGACACCATTGATCTCTCTACCATCCCCTGCTTTATTTTTCTTTACGTCCCTTATCATTACCTCTTACTCCATTTACTTGTATGTGTATTGTCTAGATAGCCCATTGAATGAGTTAATGCACTTAGCAACCGTGCTGGAATGTAAGAAACACTCAATAAACATTAAGTGTTGGGACACCTGGGTGGCTCAGTCAGTTAAGCATCTGCCTTCAGCTCAGGTCATGATCCCAGGGTCCCAGGATCCATCTCCCTGCTCAGTGGGGAGCCTGCTTCTCACTCTGCCTGTCCCTCTGCCTGTCACTCTGTCTGCTTGTGCGAGAGCTCGCTCTCTCTCTCTCTGACATATAAATGAATAAATAAATAAACCTTTTTAAAAATGTTAAGAGTTATTATTATTATTATTGGAATAAAAGCTCCTTGATGTTGGAGAATTTATCTTGTTCTCCACTGGACTCTCAGTAACTGACACAGCACCTAGCACACAGTATGTGCTCCAGAAATATCTGTAACAGTAATGTACCTCCATAGTTGTTCCCCTTAGTTCCTGAGGCTCAGTTGTTCCATAAGTGATGCATATATCTGATACCCTAATGCATGAAAATTGCTCTCTGAAAATTTTTAGATAGCTTCCTGAACATTGCTTTTCCTGCTTTGACTGAAGCTTGGGCATTTGTTTTCAGAGCACTAAACAGTAAGAGTCCTAACTCCGCAGGCACTTGGTTGCTTTATGTTTGGAAGGCATTTGACTAGGTCTGGAAACACAGTCTGCACCCCTGGTTTTTGTTGTGGTGATTTTTTTGGTTTTTTTGTTTGGTTTTGTTTTGTTTTTAGAAATTCACATCTGAGCAGAAGACCTTGGAAAACGCTCTGCTTTTAACATTGTTTCCAGGAGGTTATTAAGTATCTGAGAGATTTAGGCCTAATGGGACAGTCTCCTAAGTCAGGGACCCCTTCTCAGTTCCACAGATGGAGGCAGGTGAAATTACAGCCAACCGAGACATCCAGATCTACCGCATCGAGGGCAGAGGACAGGGAATTCTAAGGCCTGAATTTTGGCCGGTGGATAATCCTAGATCACAACCTTTGATCGCCCACAGGCTCTGCTGGCTTCAAAGTTTGATGTTTGTGAGCATAAATGAGGACCGGTGTTATCAAATTACCATCAACACAACCTTTTTCAAACTCT